CAATTGAGTCACTAAATAGTTTTGTAACAAATAGATGATACGGGTTTTGATCTTCATGAAGATTGGGGGCTCCACTCAAAGATTGAAACAGTGGAGGAGTTATCGTTGGCGAGGAGACGAACATATCTCTATAGAGGTCATCTAACAGTGGATGACGTAGATCCGAGCTCGAGAAGTTTGAACATTTGTGGGTGATTTTATGAATTTTCAGAATCTAATATGATATGTCGAATGAGAAGATCAAGATAAAATTTTGGGTTCACCAACCACCATAGACTAATATATTTTATATTGCACATGACTTGATTATTATAGTCTATTAATTGAGTAATTGGATTTTAACCTTTTGAAATTCTTGGGTGTATCATGATTAAAATATTATAAATCAGGTTGTAGTTTGAATTTTAATGGTATAATGAGCTAATTATTATAATCGATTATTTAAGTGATTTGATTATGATTTTTAAAACTCAATGACTCGTTTTTAAACTTGCTAATAAACTAGTGACCTGTGATATAATTTACTTTAGAAAATTTGAAAACCCAGTATTCCCTTTTCTTTCCTTTTCTTTTAAGTTATGGGTAAAGTACATGTTCTCTATATTATAGGATATTATTTTATTGAGTCTATCAACTATTAAAAGTTATAAAAATGGTCCTCTAACTACAAGTTGTTACTTTGTCGAGTCCATTGACTATTATAATTTATAAAATGGTCATCTGAATATTAGTTTTGTTCCAAACTCTTAATTTTCGTTAAAGATTTAACGATGGTGTGAGTTGTACGTTAATCTGCTAACTGATACATGATAAAACTTGATCTCATAGTCTCAAACAACTATTGTATCTCAGTTAATATGTTGACATCCAACTCATGCAGTCATTAATTTTTTAACAGAAAATGACGAGTTTGGAACATAATGAATAGTCAAGTGATCATTTTGTAATTTTTAATAGTCAAGGGACTCAACAAAAAAACTCTATATAGTTATAGGATCATTTTATAATTTTTAATAGTTAATGGGCTCAATAAATCATACTTATAGTCTGGGGACGTTTATGTACTTTATCCTTAAATTATTACTTTCTTTTGCAAATGTTTAATAATTATTTATGGATCTCAATGCCGTGGTGGTGTTAACTTTTTTTTTTGGATAATTCAATTTTATTACCCATAGAGCAGTAAACTACTATAAAAACAATCAGAGTTCTGATTACATTTGATCACCCTACTTACAAAAAATCAATGATCAAACTATACACCAATTATTACAAAGAGTAATATTAACAATATCTAATCTATTTATATTCCTACCCCTTAATTGTAAACCAACAATATCCTTAATGGCATGGAGCATTTCTTCAACATTTCTTGATCGACCTTGGACCAAACTTTTGTTTCTTTCTTCCCATAGAATGTAGAAAAGAGCATTTGAAGCAATCTTCATAATCGTAGTGAGCAAGAATTTACCTTTCCAATTAGCACAAGCCCAAGCTATATGAGCTTCCCATGACAAAACTCTAAACCGCAAGCCAGAAAGGAAGAAAACTGCTTCCCATAAATAAGCTGCCATAGGACACTCAATGAACAAGTGGTTCCTTGTCTCCAAAACATCATCACAAAAAACGCATTGACATTCAATGATAAGCCCCATACGATGCAACCTTTCCTTAGTAGGAAGTTTATCGAGTAATGTCATCCATACTATCAAACTATGTTTTGGGATGTGAGAGGAAACCAAATCAGCTTCTGCCTGGTACTTTAGTGTCCTTCAACCTAATCGCATTCCAAATTTCACTCACTTTCTTGCTCGAGAAGACAGAACAAGAAAAACCTTATCTCATCTTTAGGATTCGCCTTAAGCTCCAGCTAGTATTGGATCTAATTTCAACATTCTAGAAATCATTAACATTTAGTAGTTTAAATGGAAGGAGTTTAGTTCGATTAATATTATTATAGAAAGACATGAGATTAAATGCATTTTTTGATTAAATGAGATTAAATATACGTAAATATTTAATATCTTTTGATTTATAAACGATAAAAGACCCGACTAATATAAGTATTATAACATACTATTCAAAGAAATACCAATTATAAATGATAATGGTAATAGACTCGAGAGTTGGTGAAAGTGTTAAATTAACCTTTATCTTCCAATCTATGGAGTAGGTAAAGGTAATTCAAATCACACATATGTTGAAGTTGGGTTTAATTATTTTCAAGTCCCCTATCAATGTTGAAGTTTAGCCAATTAACCCCTAACATTCCTCGGTTTAAATTTTTTTAAGTCCCTATCAAATTTATAATTAAAAAAAAGGCTAAGTCTAGAATTTAAATACTTCTTAGATTCTCGTCAATTTTAAAATTAAACAAGTTAAACTTCAATAAATAAAAATATTATACGCTCAAGTTCATATTTTTGTAAAATCAGTTAAATTTTAACTCCACAATATTACACGTAAAATATTAATATACTTTTTTTTGGAAATTTTGGTAGGTGTTGAATTAATGTTATCCTTATCTTCCAACTCATAAATTTTTAATCTTTCAAGTAGGTAAGTCTATTAAACATGTGCTCGGAAATTTAAAAAAAAACTATAAGCCATATTTAAAAATATTACTAATAAATTTTTTTTTTAAAAATCTTCAATCGAATAGTTTTTAAATATATATTTTATAAAATTTAACTGTTTAAAATATTTAAAATAATCATAGTCAGAATTTAAAAAATTTGACATGAACATGCATAATGTGACGGAAAAGTATAATTTAGCTCCTGATTTGAATGTTCACCTATAACCGATATATGTTTTTTGAGCTTTAAAGCAGGTATTATAGTAATTCATTATTTGTTTGGTAATTATTATTCTTGTTCATGCATATTTATTTCAAAAAAAAAAAAAAAACTTTGATATCAAGTTATATATCATTATCGTTTTGATACTTAATTTTTATAATGTAATTTAGTTTATTAATTTATCAATTATAATACATGTTATCTTAATTAATTTCTTCGTTGGTAATTTTTGTATTCTTCCTAATTTTCTTTATAAAAATATATGTTTAATTATTCATTATGAACCTCTCAATAATAGGCTTTCTTTGGCCCAACAGGGTAACCCGATTTTTTTTTTGACAAAATAAGATACAAACACTTTTATTTTAGGATCTACTATATTTTCTACAGTATTCATGGAACTCGTCACTTCAACATGACGAGTTCCAATAAAACATAATTATTTTATTAAATTTTATCATATCAAGATAAAAAGTTTAAATAAAAATATTTTACTGTAACTCGTCATATCGACGTGATGAATTCTAAGTCACTTCAACTAATACCGTTTATCGTAAAATAAACTTTCACATGGCCTATCGAACTATACTTTTTGGCGTGTTGAGCCAAAAAACCCTCAATAATATGCCCAGTAATAAGGGCCCAGGGTACCACAAATGGCTCATCAATGTTTCACAATATTAGTCTGCTTAGGTAAAGGTATTGTTGTGTTTTTATTAAGGGTAAATTAAACACTTACTCAATAAATTTACTCTCTCTCATATTTCACTCACCGAACTTTCAATTTTTCAATTTGCTCACTAAATTTTAGACATTAAACTTTTTTTGTCACTTGACCGTTTAGTCCGTAACGGGATGCTAATGTGGTTTATTTTAATAATAAAACATACCACATAGGACATATAATTAATCCGTAACGGGATGCTAATGTGGTTTGTTTTTAATAATAAAACATACCACATATGACATATAATTAAAAAGATAAATTACATGTTTATCCACTGAAGTTTACTATCTCTCCTATTTTACTCACTATACTTTTATTTTTTTTTCAATTAATATAGCAACGTAATAAGGCCGTTAGAAATTTAACAATCAAGTGACAAAAAAGTTCAATGTCTAAAGTTTAGCGAGCAAATTAAAAAAATTAAAAGTATGATAAATGAAACAGGGAAGAGTAAAATTCAGTGAGTAAGTTTGTAATTCACCCTTTTATTAATGTGCACATCCTTTGGGTTCTGATATCACGTATTACAATTTACAAACTTTGTTTTAGTGTATTCATTTATTAATTCGTGTGACACTTGAGAGGATGCTTCCCAACCAAATCAACCTTAATCTTGATTATTTATTCAGAAAATAAGCAAGTCGTAAGTAAGGACTGACGTGTGATTTTATGTTGGGGGCGAATTTGTGCTTATAAAATCCTAGGGTTAACTTAAACTAATAAAATCTTAAGAGACGAAAACAGATTTTAAATAAAAAATACATTAAAAAAATCTAAAATCTAAATTAATCTTTAAATTTAAAGAGGCGACTGCTTCCACCCTTGGTCCATCCCTGGTAAGTTAATCCTTAGCTACAATATGATCCCTCAAATACTTAGTTGAGACCATGAGTCACAACATATACACACCGTCGATCTTGTATTTTTTGTGAGTAAAAAATATTACTACTATAAATAAAGTATCAAATTATATGAAATATAGGGTTGTAGGAACAACGGTGTTCTTAAGATATAGTATATCTTTATTTAGGAATCAATCTAACAATCTATTATCTATGGAATGTCTACCATTATTAAAAAAAGTTTAATAAAATGTTAGGCACAAACATTAAATATACCTAGGATCAGAGATGGGCGCCAGGATTTTATGTTAGAAGATAAACGTGAACTTTTAAAATTTCAGAAGGGATGAAAAAAGATTTTTATTAAAAAATACATAGATAAAATCTAAAATATATAATAATTTTAAATTTTTATGGGCGACTGACTTGCCCACCCTGCGATCCATCCTATCTAATGAAAACACGATTTTCTTCGTCCATGTTTGGACTACCTTACCGTGGGTGGCCACGACACATTACATGGACGTACATATTGGTGTTTTTACATGGTTGCATGCATCTGAAATGACTTTTATTTTGCTAATATCAGTTCATACGTAATACATTAATGCACTAATAATGACCTATAATTGTAAACATAATAGTAACAATAATAATGTAGCTTATGAACCTGTGATTAACGTTAAACCGGGTCTGAAATCGTATCCGGATCAGCATTCAAATCCAAACCCACATTCTCCTCCGTGTTTGCTGCCTTCTCCTGGCCGCCGTTTCCTTGGACGTTCCCTCCCAAACTGAACGACCCTACCTTCCTCAAATCCGTCAAGTCTCGTAGGTCACCGTCACGTTTCTTGAAATAATCTACCGCCACGTGTATCCGGCCAAGGATAGTGAAGAATTCCTCCACCTCCTCCTCCGTCACGGTCGTCTCCTCCCCTCTCCCCCTCTTCAGAGATCCTCCAGGGACGGTGCCTTTCACCTCCGACTTCCTCTTCTTCCCCTCCATCTCTCGTCGAACTTTCCCGAGGCAGTGGTAACTCGATCTATATATAGGAAAAGGGTGGACCGTACGTGAACGTTAGCGTCACAAGATTTAGAGAATAATTATAGCATGGCGTGATGAGATACCAAAGACATCTTATAGAATATTTGAAAGGGAGAGGACAATCGTTGCGTTCACATTGGAGATGACGTCATAATCGAATATTCCGATGAGGTTAGGTATGTCAGACTTCTCTGAACGCCGATTTCGACGGCCCCATTAAGAAGACTCGAGCTGCTCCGACAAATGCTTGGTGAATGGTGAGTGCAACTAAAGCATATGAAGAGCAATATTTGGAGTAAATTTGTACAATTATACAGTAAGAGGAATAAAATTATGTATTATTAATAATAAATACTTAAAATCCTTATAAATCTTGGTTCGAATCTAAAATTTTAAGAGATAATAATTATATTTTAATCATCGAGATTGTTTAACTCCTATAAATTTATTATATAAGAGATATAAAATTTACATATTTAAGTGTTCGATTACAGAATTCTGAGATTTGAGAGTGAGAGAATAGATGCCCAAGTGTAAAGTAGTGCTACATATAACAAAAGGTTTCGTTAGTACAAATATGGTCGGTAGAAAAGAAAAAGTATGGGTAAGAACATTTACTAGGAATATCGAAGCTTCCCAAGACAAGATGTTCAATGCCTTTAAATATGCATGTACCAAACTGGTTTAAATGTTCAACGGGAGTGAAGTAGAAGGTTTGAAAAAGAAGTGGTGTAACACCCTAGACCAGTACGACACACGGTCGATTGATGTAGGATGTCACACAGAATCACCGGAATGGCTGACCAACACCTTACTCTTTTCTTGTACTATAAAACGACCATTTCCACAAATAAAACATCTATGAAATAATATAATTTTAAAACTTTATATTGGGGAGTTCCAAAATAAACATTTACAATAAAAATATTACATACCGACTCTTAATAGAATTTACGACCCAACCAATACAACAGGGTTTATAAAATATACATGCCCTTAAAAAATTGTTGAGACATACTATGAATCTGCCCTAGGTCTAGATCTTGATCTATTTACTGCTCCTCGAACTCTCGATCTACTAACCTGCAAATGGAAAACAATAGCTCAGCGCCACACTAACAACTAAAACATACTAAAATTTTGTCACTGAAATGCTAAAGCTATCAAGTTTACTGCTATTTGGTCTATTGGTCTGTTCTGTTCTACTTTAGTGAGTATACTCGTATACTCACTCTATATTCTATGGTAGACATCATGGTGCGGCTGAGGGTTCTGTATCTCGGAGCTCACACACCCCTCTAGTCTACCGAGAGTGTGGCCCCCGGAATCTCTGCATCGGACACCACACTCTCGACTAGCCCACTCCTTGAGTGTCAGACCTTGCGTCCAAATTAGTCAGCTTAAAGTACCTTGTGCACTTCCTAAGGATATCCGGGCTGAATATATACTTTCGACTCTGCTATCTTTTCTAAATGAACTCGAGTGTTCTGGTCGTTTTCCCTAGCATTCAAACAAGACTAGTCTTATTTCACCATAATTTATTCTCGTTTCTACGTTTGAATTAAACATAATTAATGTTCTCACTTGAAGTATTATGTGAGGAAATATTGAAGTGTTGGAGTACATTGAATCTAATTTCATTAAAAACTGATCTTTTTTTCCAAAAACAAACTGAAAATATCGATACTAGCCCAAGAGTATCGATACTCCTGCAAAAGTTTTGATACTTTATATAAGTACTGATACTTTTTAAACATTATGTTATGCCCATTTTCAAAACTTTTATAGGAGTTTCAAAACTATGACCCAAAGTTTCGATACTCTTGAAAGAGTATCGATACTCTTGCACAGAAACTTAAGAATTTGCCCAAAACGAAGAACAAGTATTGATATTATCCCTATAGTATCGATAATCTACCTGCATAAGTCATAAAGCACAAACGAAAATGCTATATTTCAATCCCAAAGACCCTAGTGAGGTCCCCAAACATTCTTTAAAGTCTTATGTGATTACAAGGTAAATAAGACTTATATCATCCTTATAACATAAATAATGTAATATACCATTAACATTTAACACTAAGCTTTATAACTTATTCTCAAGCTATAACTCATTTCTAATGACCACTAGAAGTAGATAAGAGTTGATAGTGTGTTACCTTGCATCTTGCTCGCTAGAAACTCTCTCAAGTTAACCAAGGGGAAACTTCTCTTTCCCTCTTACTTTAGAGTTTTCTCCCAATTTAAAGCACACATACAATATCCCAATTTCACCCATAGAAATTACTTTTTTCTCTTCACACATCTTCATTTCCTACTTGTTCGAACTAACTTCGAAGATGAACCATAACCAGCAACAACAGATCAATCGACATTCAGGTCTTTTTTTCATTCTTTTTGGGTAGAAATTTTGAATATATTAATTTATTTGTGTTTTGTTTTTCTGCAGTGCTGCCGCACTATGTTGTTGTTGTCTTTTGGATGCATGCTTTTGATGATTTTGCGCATAACTTTTACGTTCATTGGAGTTTATTGTTCCTTTGTTTGATTCTCATGTACACTCGGAGCTATATATACAACCATTGGTTTTCCATTATGGGTAAAGTATATAAATAATCCCCGAATATTTAGGGTGTTTGCATTTTGGTCACCTAACTTTTGAATACAATCATCGAACTTTTAGTTAATTTTCAGTAAATTCCCTATCGTTACCTCTAATTAGTTTTGTTGACGTGGCATTTAACTGCCGTTACCTCTAATTAGTTTTTCGCCCGGGCAGGGAAAGATCGATACCGACTTGAGGGTTTTCTCTTTGAAAATATTTAAAAATGTGAGAAGTCGCCACCAATCATTTAATGTGAGATTGGAACACCATAAAAATCGAGTGATTTTAATAAAACATTTTATTTTTATTAAAATACTGAGTTTTGGGGTTTGTAAAAATCCAAAAATCAGGTTCGGGAGGCAGTTACGTGTGGGGAAGGATTAGCACCCCCACAAGCACCCAAAAATTGGTACCTAGTTGATTACCCTATATTTAAAATCGAAAATTTTGAGTTCGATCTTTATTTAATTTAAAAATCATTAAGGATGCAGAGTTTGAAAAGGGTATTCGTTTATTGAGACTGATAACATTCGCCCCCGAGCGTAAATGTGGAATATCAACTATTGTGTCTAATAACCGAACATTGCCTCAATTTTAGAAAACATGATGCGGATTTAAAAAGGATGTCGACCTATTTAGGGAATCATCAGTAGTCACCCCCTGAGCGTGAACGCGGGAGATATACTATTAATTCCTTAAATAAGTGAACAATGCCTTAGGTTTATAAAAACAATGCGATCAAGCAAAATTTTATTCAATCCTAATTAATCTAAAGTAAATTAAGGCTTTTCTCTAACTTAAGGTGTCAAATTATGAGAATTAAGAAACCTAGGGGCTCAAATCTAAAATGTAAGCTTAATATTAATCCTATTTGATTTTAAATAATTATTGAATCGAATAACTGAGATGGTCCCTCGAGCATTTACGCGAGGGTCAACTCGAATTATCCCTTAAATTAAAAGACTAGTTAGAAATCTAACTAACAGTAGAGGCTTTAATATTAATCTTAATTAATTATATAAATGTTAAAGTTCTAATTAAGATTAGGGACTAAATAATCAAATGATTTAAAAAAAGCTACAATGATGAGACTTAAATTAAAATCCTAAAATTTAAAGATCTAAACCTATAAATCTTAAAGTTTAAAGTATTAATCTACATGTTTAAGTCCTAATAATTATTAAAAGCGAGGAACTAAGTTAAAATAATTAAAAACAACAAATAATAAAAATATTTAAAAAAATAACCAAAAAATAAAAATAAAATAAGTATACAAAAATTAATTTTAATCGAGGTCTCACAAATTAAATATAAAGGGACTAAATCATATTGTCAATTAAATTATGGGGATTTAAAAACAAAATTAACAAAACATGTAATATAAATGACTAAATTAAAGATTAAGTAAATATACCCAAAACAAAATAATGAAAAGCAAGTTATTGACTAAAATACACAATACATTTAATCTACAGGAATTAAACGACAATTATTCATTTTTCAAGTTTAAATAAAAATGCAAAAAATACAGATCAACTCAAGAAAAATAAAATAAAATAACCACTGCAAGTGACCATAATGCAAAAACGCTAAATCTAATGGAGTCTAAGCGTATTTTTCCTTAAACAAATGGCTAAAACGTATAATAGGCTGAAAAGGAGGATGAAAACCAAATTAGACCTTATTTGGGCAATTAGAACACGAAAAGCCTAACATATGGGGACCTATGGGTAATTAACCCTTAAGTCTGGTGACAAAAGCATGAACACTAAAATTAAGGGACCTAAAGCTTGATTTACCCAAAAGAAATGAAATCACCCCTTTTAAACTTTCCAGTAACACGATAAAGCTAAAAAACTTCCACATTCATCTTCTCTTTATTATTTCTCTCAACTCTCTCCCTCTTTTTCTCTATTTCATTTTTTTACTTTGTGGAATAAACGATCGGTGGCCATGAACCACCATGGCCACCACCACGAACCGTCCCGATCGACACTCTTCTAAGGTAAGGATCTACTCACTCTCTTTCCCTTTTTTTTTATTTTACATGCAAAGCTCAAAAAAGGAAAAAATTATATTCGATTCGAAACCGAAAAAAATACTCGAAATCCCTTGGAATAATCTGATTTTTATTGTTTTTTTCTGGATCCATTCTTTACATTTTTGTTAGGGTATTTATAGACCCGATTTACACTGTTTTTTACTTGTTTTTTTCTTGTTTTTTTCTTCAAAAATGTTTAAAGTCAAAATAGTTGGTATCATTGTTTGTTCTGTGGTTCCAGCTGGAATTCGATGGTAGTGGAGCAATCGGTGGTAGTGGGTAAGCTGTTTTTTGACTTTGAAAATTGGTGATTAT